ATGAGTAGAACGTAGTATTCTCCATTCCTGGATATCACGCTTTCTGCAGCAGAATTGCCGGCGCAGTTCGGCGTCGGTAGGTGGTGGGACATTTCGCACATGCTTACAAGTCTCACTCTGGTGGTACCTGTGAACACTAGTGAGGCTGGAGCAGCCTCATCAAGCAACGGTAAAACCTGTGACCCCTTGCGAGCTCAAGAAATAGGTCTCAAGGTGAAGGGAAGTAGCTAAAGTGCAGAATGACTCCCCCCTCCCCTCCATCACCAAACTGCTCCTAAGCCGATGTAAGCCATCTATGTGTCTTTACTAACTGTGAGCAACACCGAAAAATACGTAAAAGTAGAGAGTAAAGAGTAAAAAAAATCCCTAAAAAAGCCCAAGACTTCATTAAACATTGTATCAAGCATGAAAAAGCTGGACAAATGAACCAAAAACAAGTATTCGGTAAGGCACCGATAGAAAATCATAACTGAACAAACAGCGAAAGTGGATAATGCATTATCAAAAACAAAGTGAAAACAGTAAATACAAAATATCTCCTAGTTATCTTTCTTATCGCCTGCAGCTGCATCTTCTTTGATCTCCACTATGCCATCATCAGGGTTTTCAACTTCTGATTGGTGATCGGGTTCACTTTCGCTGGACTCTTCATCAGAATCAAACTTCTTCTTGGCGAGCCTCGACTCGAGAGCTTCTATTGAGAGGTGCTGAAAGGGAATCTTCTTGAAAAATTTGAAACACTGAAAAGTTCAAAAAAGAAAGATCCACTGTAAAGTTTTAGAAGCTCATTAGGCTGGCGGGTGACGATATTTTTTTGGAGCTGAGCTTTTTATTCAAAGAAGAGAACCTTCCTTGTAAGGTGTTCCTTGAGCCTTCTCAGGGCGCCAACAGACCACCGCGGGGCCCTCGTTGTAAACTTCCTTACATCCTCACTCCTAAAGCTGTGAAAAGGTCCCTACTCCCTCCTAACACTATCCGGGCGAGTCCAGCAGCAGGCCCACCTCAGGATCCCCATTTCACCAGAGTGATGTTGTTATACATGGTTCCTGTCGAAGTGCCAGCTCTCGCTGCCGTAGAGCATCGCAGGCCTAACCACTGCCCAGTGCACCGTGTCTCTGAGGGTCCTGAAGCCGATTGGCCCTTCTTGACAAGTCCCTCCTGCTTTTTTTGCACCTTCTCTTGGAGTTCTCCTCTGCTCTCGGCTATATGGGCATCTTCATCGGCACAGTGAAGGTTTCCAGCGGCCCTTTTTTGAGTTCTCTGCTCTCAGCTATACGGGCATCTTCATCGGCATAGTGATGGGTTTCCAGCGGCCCTTCTTTGAGTTCTCTTGCCATGATATCTAGGGATAGCAGGAAGATAAAGGAGCTGAAAGCTGCACTCCTGATAATCTACAACCCAGATTCACCTCCTTTATAACGTCGGCAGGGCGTACAGCCGGATTCGCGACCCATCCCCTCGTTCTGTGCCTGCGTCTACGCACTGCGTAGAAAATTTGACGCCGCTTGTCCGTCAACGGCCTTGGTCCTTCTCAGAAGCGTTTTCCTGATGGCATAAGATACCTTCCCGTCAGCGACCTTACGTTCAAAGCCCCAGTTCGGAGCAACTTCTTTTGGCCGAGGTCGCACATCTCTCGGTGTTCCTCAACAGAGAATCCGGGCACGGATTTTGGGCGCCTCTTTCGAGTAACCTCTTAGAATTATCTCTTGAATAGAAATACCCTTGCGACTTTCAGTCATGGTTGTAATGACGCGGTTCTTCATCAGCAGAACCGTCAACCTGGGCCTGATGCTGATGTCGGCACCATTTCGAAAAGCTTGGTCCTTGCCCGGCAGGGATCGAGCTCGCGGACTTTTTTAGAGTGGTGCAAACATGAGTTTACACTCTTAACTACTCTACTCGGCTATCCCTGCCTAATTTTTTCACATCACAACAGTAGTTCGTTTCTTCATGTCTTATAGATCAGAACTAACCTATCCATTTTCTCTTGATCACCTTCAATACACAATTTTTGGAAAGAATTCAGAAACATGGGAAGAAGACTCATTTTCCAGTAATTTCGAGACTAAGCCACGTCATTCTCGACTGGTGACTGATGAGATATTATGTATAATCTAAAGAATTCACAAAAAAAAAAACAGTGTCAAACATAACATTTTAGCTTCAAATGGCCAAAGGCACGATATCGGATAGGTACTAAGCATAAATCACCTCAGGTATTACAAACTCTTCAGTATGATCCAGGGGGAACGAGACACAGATTTCATCTTTATCGTAGAACTCCGAGCCAATGTTGGGGTTTCAAGGCGGTTGTCCTGAAGAACGTTGAATACGAATGTGAAAAAAAACGAGGAATTTTGCCTTCTTGTGAGCCAAAAATAAGCCCACCTGGATATACTGCCAAATTATGCCATATGTACGATAGATGAGCGCGAACACCGATAGAGGTCCTGTGTAGGGCTGAGTGACTTCGACAGCACGGTCTACCTGCAAAATACTAGATTTTTACTACGATTAGGCCCGTCGAGGAATAATAGATCGCATTGCAAAAGGCTTTTGAAAAAATCAAGTATCAAAAACGATCTATCTGACCTTGGGCAAAACCATCTTTTCGTATCCCCATCGGGTAAGTTGTTGAGCATAATTGTTGGTGTAGAGATCTTTCCCGTCTTCTGGAACGCCGAAGAGTGAGACTTTCAGGCATTTCAAATTCTTATGGGTAATAATAATAATAATAATAATAATAATAATAATAATAATAATAATAATAATAATAATAATAATAATAATAATAATAATAATAATAATAATAATAATAATAATAATAGAATAAATAAATGAATAAATAATAATAATAATGTTTGAGCTGTTTTATTATGATAACTGCTGCTTAACCGTCGCGGTCCGCGTTTCGAATGTTATCACAAGAATGCTGAGTTATGGGCAAAACTCAGCTTTCTTGTGATAACATTCGAAACGCGAATGGCGACGTTAAATAGCAGTTATCATAACAAAACAGCTTCGAAACTCGTAAAGCCTTCGGCCTGACGGTTTCATCTGACGAGATATCTAACGATTACGGCTGACCGGCTCACCAAGTTAAACGTGTGAGTGCTGTAAGACATACAGCACTCACACGCCGTGCATCTACGGCATAAAAGCCGTTAAGCTGAGAGGGTAAAAGCGGCCCTGGTGGCGTAACGGATAGCGCACTCGCCCGGAAAGCGTGAGGTGCGGGTTCGACTCCCGCCTGGGGCACGACTTTTGCCCACAACTCAGCATTCTTGCTATGTAATAATAATAATCCATAATAGTAATAATAATAACGATTTCATAATAGTAAAAATAAAGGTGGAGGATAAGTTCTCGCGCTGGTCAATCGCAATTCGGGATTGGCACGCATTCTACTTCAATCAAATCGTAGCGCTTACTATTGACTGTGACGTGGTTATACAATGAGGTGTGTGGGGCTAGATTTACAAAGTCAGTGTTTCTAATTCCAACGGGCGATATCTAGCAGCAAGGTACTCTGTTTTCGAGGGAGATACGTAACATAAAAACTTTTTGTGGGGTCTGCTGCGATAGGCTAGAGCGCACAGCAATAAAGGCATCGTGAGGTACAAAAAACATGACGCAGGCAAGGAGATGAGTTTTTTCAAAGGGAGGGGATACCGGGATGGAATAGCCACTTAGTATGCGTGGAACAAGTTGTAAAATTGTGAATAGGTCGAGAGTGGTCAAAGAGAAGCATTGCAATAAGAATAGGCAGAGAAAACAGAAAGTTGGCGCCACTGAAGGGGGTTGAGTTTTAGTTGTCCGTAGACCCTCGAGGGTAGAAGTCTTGGTTGGATTGGGGCCGGGAGTCCAATCCGGAATTTGTCCTGAATTGGACCGCGCGCTTGGTAAGTTTGCCGCCACTACACCACCTCCGTGGGAATAATAATATTAATAAGAATTATGATAACTGTAATAATGAATCAACTCGATGCAGACGGTTAAACATCGTGGTGTGTTAGATGTTTGAAGTGGACTGGTGTTGTACTAACCCCACACCGCCCGCTCATAAATCCTCATTTGGCCCATCCATCCCACTATTATAGGATTATTTATGAAAATACATAAAAGCAAATCCTGTACGATAGCGGGATGTATGTCACTGACGCATAATGGCTCTGAGATTCATTTTTGATGGTCCACGACTACGTCAGCAGCCATTGCTACGACTTCAGGCAGAAATTGCTTCCCTGATGACTACAACGGTGACGTTTACGGGTAGCGACCGTTCCGTTGTTTTGTAAGACTATGGGCTGTATATAGATTCGCTACGTTACTCTCACCTCCGAAAACGCACCTACGCAGCCTGGAGGAGGAGGTTTCTTCACGTTCCTATAAAATTAATAATACTACAGTGAACGAGGCAATGAAAAACTATAGAAGCTAGATAGTTTAGCTCAAGAAACTGAACATGTGCGTTTCTCAAAGCGCTTTAGAACCGCCGCCAATCAGCTTCTCACACTCAGAAAATATGCGTTGGTGGGGATGACTGTGAAGCGGAGTGACTGGAAAATTGTTTACAAACAGCCACAAACTACACCCCCCCCCCCCAATACTACGGTTTTTCGCCATGCTCCGCCGAAGCGACTTTGTTAGTCAAAGCATGGCGGAGAATCGTAGTATTTGGGCGGGGACCGTGTAGTTTCAGTTTTGTGCTCAGATTCGTGTCTGTATGTAGCTAGTCGAATTGTAGCACTTGCGCTACAATTAGTTGAGAATATTATAAGGTTGAACAAAGATATGATGATAAGATCCTCGGTTTGCGCGAGACTCGCCAAATGGCCCTACATTTAACGAAGTAGTCGTTACAGCAGAGATCTGCTGCTTGTTTTTTAGCGTTAGTGCTCCGACGAATATGCCATATGAATTTCAGTCAAATGGGCAGGGCGCCGTGAAATTTCTGTCAACATTTGGAAGACCTTGGCGAGCATCTTTCATAAAAAACCTCATAGTAATTCTCACTCTCGGGTTATCGTAGAAAATGCCGAAAGTCGTCGCTCCTGCAGGCAAGAGTCCGCGTGCCTGAAACAGAACATTCTTAATTCGATCCAGCTCATATGTAGTAGCAAGTTATAGAGTACGAATTAAACATAGGTTCTGAGGACCTACCTCTTTGAATATTGTACCGACACCGGAGTAAGCACCGATATGGTGCTTGTAATACACTGTGAGCGATTTGCCCAGATACTTTGGCGTTTCAGTAACAGATGGCTGAAAACTTGAAGTAATGTTCCACTCAAACCAAGAGAGCAGGCAAAACACAGATAATTTAAGTAGTGTTCATATCAGCTAAGGCAGTCCCTTTATATTTTTTTTGTAGATACGAGCATTGAAAAGCGATTGATCCTCTAGGATATAACGCAGAGTTGTCTGCCCGTCTGTGTGTTTTGCGTGTCGGTGACCGCATGGAAAATGAGAATCGCACGAAAGAACTATTCCGAGGGAGCGAATCAAGTCCGGGACGAAATACAGGCCATGGTGGACTCCGCCCACAGTGGGCGGTGCCGAGGACGAAAACTCGTAAAACGATTACTGAACTGTCCAGACAAGACGTAATAAGCGTTAGGGCCAGCGACATCACAAATAAGCTAACCGAATGGGAATCGCAGGGGTCTAATGCCTTTGACATCTAATCAACGTCGGTTCAGCGTATTCTCGAGCATTGAGTTCAGCGTTAAAAGAAAATGTTCAGAGTGTCTATTTACCCGCTACTCTGTGCTACACATGTGAATAAGTGCAGGTGGACTGAGAAGTTTTTTCTTTCTCTCGCATAACAGCGTCAACGCCGCGACCTCCCCGTGTGTAAATAACTTTTTTCGGAGATCGACTTTGGGCACAACGCTTGTTTACCTAGTCATCGTAAAAATACATGTATTAGAGGGTTCACCACATCTACATATAGAAACACGAAAAACGTAAGTGAAAACGAATCAAGGTAAAGTAATTCTATGAAAAGAAAGAACGCTCGCACCTGAATAATTACGGAAGAAAATCCACTTTTAGAGGTTGTGGTGCAGGCTAAAAATGAGAAGACATACTGCGATGAAGGCCAACTCAAACATCTGCAAGAGTGGACGTTTAAGGTGATTGCACTTTTTTCAATAAGAGGTAGAATATAGCATATAGCAGATAGCATAAGCGTGCAAAAATTTAATAGCAAGGAATTTTCTAGATGAAAATTTTTCAGTTCTCTGGCGAGAATAGAGAAGAACATCGCAATCGAAGCAAAATATTCAAAGTTCGATTTTTGACTTTTGGAAGCTTCCAAAGAAGCTTCAGCCAGAAACGAAAGTCTTGAGCGGAGTTGGCCCAACAATGCAAAGAATGGGCAATCAGACGCGTTCATCACTCGCGTCCGCAAGCGATCGATCGCAAAGTATGATACGTCGCTCTCTAAAGCAGTACCAGCCTCATTTCTGGATAAAAGTGATTCAGGACGAATCCACGCTGTTTGTTTTTTTGTAGGTATTATTTACACATAATTCAAACATAAAAAGGGAAGCTACTGTCTCGACACTTCATCACGTTCACGTTAAATCTGGGGTGGAAAATGTCATTGTAGGCAAAGATACGGTTGCGATATGATAGGACCTCTGAAGCCCAAGGTCTTGGCGGCAAACTGCCATAAAGTGCGTGGAGGGGTAACATTCAGAAGCAAAAAAGCAGGACTCCGTCCAGGTTTCTTAGCGACAGGCAAGAGCACAAAAGAGTTAAAGCAAGGGCGAGCAAGTAGAATGAGGAAACGAAAACGGCAAGATGGAAGTTGTTTTTTTTCCCAGCGTTTCTGCACCCTACAGACCCTCAATCAGTATGGGCTGAAAACCAAGAAATGACATATGCTCGACTATAGTGAACGCAGAACGCTAGTAAAACGGGTGTAAAGTCGATTAGAAGGTTGCGAAAGAGAAGCCTACTGTAGGCATAGTGTAACGGAGTAGGCGGAGAACAAAGACTCAAATTTGCCTGACTCAAAAGCTGTACATAATTCAACATCTCAGTCGACATTATTCCTCATACAGAAGCATATGATTTATAATGTAGTCAAAGACCACATTGGTACGCCATACATTGAGGGTGTATGAGACTATCAGCCCCCAGCTGTCGATGTGTCGTGGTCCCCCCGCCCAAAACTGCACGGGGTCAGAGTACGGGGCCGTGGGAAAGTCGTAATTCCTTGCTACACCGCCCGTTTCGCAAACTCACGTTTTTACTAACACCGTCCGCGCGGCGCGGTCGCGTGCAGCTCTCTTGGCTTTTTGCCAAGTCCTGTAATTGCGCTTTGGAATACAAGTACAACGCAATTCTTTATTAATGGCGGATTTAAATTTTAGGTGCTGAAATAACGCAACTCAGAAGAATGAATGAACGAGGGCTAGAACTCAAGAGCAACTGTGGTGCTTCTGCAATATCCCTCAGAGGCCGCGCATTCCCACAGAACATGACAATAAAAACGGACAACATGACAATAAAACATGACAATACAAGCAAAACGCAATTTCCTAACATTTGAGGTATTGCTCATGCTTCAAAGTCCGAATAGAAGGTGATGAAGATGACAAAGGCTAGAAATGAAGAACAACGAATGTAGATGTAAATAAAACAAAATTGAAAAAACTAAGGAAACGCAATAAATTGAAAATCGCGTGTGCATTTCTGCGATCTGTTCGAAATACCGGCTCTAATCATAGAAAATACTCCAACAACAGCGAGTGGGACGCTTAGGCCGTTTCGCATTGTCATGTTCTGTGGGATGCGCCCGCTCCGCCTCTGAGGGATATTGCAGAAGCAGCACAGTTGCTCTTGAGTTCTAGCCCTCGTCATCATCTTCAGTTCTTATTTTGCAGCACCTAAAATGTTATCCGCATAAAGAAATTGCGTTGTACTTGTATTCCAAAGCGCAATTACAGGACTTGGCAAAAAGCCAAGAGAGCTGCACGCGACCGCGCCGCGCGGACGGTGTTAGTAAAAACGTGAGTTTGCGAAACGGGCGGTGTAGCAAGGAATTACGACTTTCCCACGGCCCCGTACTCTGACCCGTGCAGTTTTGGGCGGGGGGACCACGACACATCGACAGCTGGGGCTGATAGTTTCATACACCCTCAATGTGTTTG